CCACTGTTACTGTGCAAAATGATCACCAGTACCCAGCGTTTAGGCTTTCATCAATGGTCGCGGAACGGCATCCTGTATACTGCATAAGAAGGCGAGAATGCTGCACACTCGCGATATGGTATATACGAAATTCTGTGGGTTTCCTAGTAATATTCATTTTTCTATCAGAGGCAACGGCGATGTCGCTGGGACAGCTGACTGGAATCTGAAAATGTGTCGCGTGGTGCGAATATGGTCGTATGCCGCCGCACCGCGTCACCTGGGTCATAATAATACTCAAATTCATTAGCTTTTATCGAATTGATGTTAGATGAATTCAAACTTGAATCAATTGAGTTTTTCAACGGAGAGAAATTCATGCGTTCTCTGTTTACGGGGAGATTTACTATTGGCTTAAAGGATAAAAGGATAAAGCATTTGCCGTTGATCAATCCCTTTTTGGGATGCGGCACGCATTCTACTTCCATTTGTACATTCGTAGTGGCGTTTGAATGCGATGTGGCCTATACAATGACTTGCGGGGGCCAGCCGATGTACAAGTCAGTGTTTTTATCCTCCCAGACAAGTCTGGTACCAATTAACCGACCCCGGAGGGATGGAAGGCTTGGTTGGCCCGGGCGACTCACGACCCAGGATTTGATCCCCGGACCGCTCGCGTGGTAAGCGTGCCACTTGCCACTACACCACTTCCGCCCTTAACTGGGGTTAGACGTATGAAATAACTAGCACACTTCTCCGAGCTGGGCTTTGTTGCATTACAATATTTGGGCGGTTGCGCGCATGTTTGATGTAATTTCACTATGGAGGATATGCTTCTCCAACAGACTTTATCCATTCTGTCTCTGATGGGTCCTCAGATTCAAAAAGCTCTAATTCACTAGTCAAGCTAGCGGATTTTCCTTTGCAGCCTCGAAAGACATGTTCTATGCCGCGATCCAAGACCTACTCTTAGGAGCAGCCTAAGATGATATAGTGCAATATTTTGGTGAGACAAAAAGTCCACAGCAAGCGAAGAAACAAAGGCAAAACCAGAGCTAGACTTCAGTGCGAGTTCACTTTATTGCTTGCGATAGAAACATACATATGAATTGAATAATGTTACATTTCTTAGAAACCCGCTTGAAAACAAAGCTTTGCTGATGGCGGTCGGATACAGTAAGAATTAGACAACAATGTAGCGATTGCTTACAAACCAAACAATATACAGGGGAGGCCTTTAAAAAAAGACATTTTGTCTCCACTTTCAGATGGATTTAAGCACATTTTGCTCAATTCAGACCGAATGGTTCCCAACTTATTATTGAAGAGCATTTCATTCTATAAGAAAATCTTCATAGTGGCCACCTACGTGGACGGCATCAGAAGAATTTGCCCTGGAAACATGGTGCACTGGTCGAGCTCAATGGGGTCTTCGAAGGATCGTGTACCATAACGACCTTTACTGGAAAAGCTAGTTTCGAGGGGATTTGCATAGTGGGAGCTAATGCCTCTAGAAACTATCCAACATTGAATCGATTCACGAAATTATGTAAGAGCTTCAGGCTGAAGCAGTTACGGTAGGCCTCCTTGAGCTTGACGACGGTGACAGATGACGTCATATTCTGAAGACGGTGAGGGCAGTGAAGGAGGGCCTGCGTTACTTATAGAGGGACATTTAGGGAATACTCTGCTGAGGAACTTCCGTCAACGACGGCAATCTCTGCGAAGAAAAAAGGGCCGAAGTGCGACATGGGCAAAATGTCTTTTTTGGCCCCCCTGTATGGGGTGTGTGGTGTGGAGGGACTGCTGCATGCGGTCACGTTGTGTTGCAACAGTTAGTGCTATCGGAAAGAAGAAAGGTAGCGCTTGTTAGCTGTCATTAGTGCTACTTGCGACCGCGTAACGCAAGCGCTCATGGCCATACCGGAGAATTTGCAAAAGAGACAGGAGCGTTGATCTTTGTGTTTAGCCGCTTCGAACGATCGTCTCGCTGTTATTGGAAACGAAGGAATTCTGTTTTCGATGAGTCACCTTAACGAGGCGTTTCTTGTTTCTAGCCATATCAAAGGTTAGTATCGGCTTCATTTGTTAGCTATTTGCCCTTCAGTTGGCCCTTTCTATCTGATCAATCAAGGTCACGTCTTCTAGCGGTGTTTCTTGGTGCATACTTGGTAAATCTTCTTTGTGATTACTGCTAACATATCTTACTTCAGGGCCATCAGCGGTATCGCTTGAAACGCTCGATTTCTCCTCTGGTCATTTGGAAAATGACTTTTCCATCCGACTTTTCTATCATGAAGCGCAAACAGGCACGCAGGTACGCCAAATGTTGGAATTTTCTACTACTCATACAGTCGATATCCGAAAGTTGGGGTGGGTGTGTCACCGGAAGTGACGTGCACTTGATAGAAGTTGCGTGGATAAGCTGTTGCCAGCATGCTTTGCTGATAGCCAGCGATGTATGTTGGAAGCAGCTTATCCACATAGTTTCTATCAAGTGCACGTCACTTCCGGTGACACGCCCACCCCAACTCACCGATATCGAGTTTTCCTAGTTTCATGATTTAGTATACTATCATGTCGAAGGAGATCGTTCACGAAGCTTCGTACGATCGCAAGCCCGATGGAACTCTTGT